AAAAAAAAAAAAAAGTACGGTGTCCTCACTCTTCTCTTGAATAAGTTTCTTGACACTGTTCACATTTAATGCACGTATTTAAAGAAAAAGAACATGAAAATGGGGACAGCGCACTTCTCATTCATTAGCAAAGCAGAGTACCAAGTAGCGTCTGCTTAGAGGCCACGCGCTTTCTCCTGGGGCCTCCTGGTCAGCTGTCTGCTCTGTATTTCCTCCTTGTTCCATGCAGTAATTTTTGACATGTGTCGACTACCTGGGAAAGCCGGGAAGGAAACAGTAAGAGCCACCCCTAGGATTATATTTTATCTTTTTCATTTTTTTAATGTTTACTTTTGAGAGAGAGAGAGAAGAGAGACAGAAAGAGCATGAGCAGGGGAGGGGCAGAGAGAGGGAGACAGAATCCGAAGCAGGCTCCAGGCTCCGAGCTGTCAGCACAAAGCCCAACACGGGTTTGAACTCACGAACCACGAGATTGTGACCCGAGTTGAAATGGGACGCTTAACCGACTGAGCCACCCCGGCGCACCCCCTAGAATTATATTTTAACTGCAGGTACGCAGGGCGCTGGGCACTCATGGCCTGAGAGGCGGTGTCTCCTTCAATGTGTCCTCCGTCCTGGCCACTTTAAATAGCCCACCTTCTTATTTTTGAGCCCAGACGTGCCTTCCAGAGGCTATAAGATACGAGGAGAGGCGCTCGGCTTTTGGGACTGGTTAAGCCCCGCCTCCTGACCACTCCGTTCAAAGGCTCGGGCGCCCTTGCTGGTCCAGGCGGGGGACTTCTCGGCTAGTCTTCACCTTGCAGACGCGTCCAGGGCTCTCCTGCAGCCCTGGCACGGGGCTTCCTGTGCTCAGGATCACTTTTCCGTAGAGGTGCCAAACCGTGTGCTCGTTCTAGCCATGGGACTTGTGTGCACGCTGCTTCTCCGAGACCAGCCTCTGCTAGGGGAACATCCGTGGTCTTGCTGAGAAAGTCCTCAGCACCAGTTGCCTCCCTGGGAGCCACGCTCCTGGCGAGTGTATGGCTGCGGCCAAGCGGTCAGTGAGTCAGGTCTCACCCGTGTGTCAAATAATCCCTCCCATGTCATCAAAAATACCGGAAAGCAAGGAACTTCCGGCAGACACCTGCTCTCCAGGCTTGTCGGGCACGTGAGTGGAGCAGGAAGGGGCAGGCCAAGGTCAGGCCGCCCTGGGAATCCTCAGC